GGTCTCTGTTTTTTTAGTGCGCGTCTTCCTTCTGGGCAAACGGGGTCTCCAGTGGGTAGTCGCAGTAACGATTGTATGAGTGTTGCCGACGGAGTTGCGTGTGGGTGGATGGGATGTTTGCTCGAGCAACGGGGGAGACGACTTCAAGTTCCACAGGTGGTTCGCACCGCATAGATATCACAACACATATTGCTTCACATCGATTGCACAACATCACCTGCTAGAAACACAATCTGGGGTCCGCGCTGGACAACATTCTGCCTGTAGGGTACAAGACACAAGGACTTGGCCACAACAATGAACGCATCTTGGGCTCGATACGTCGGGGGGGCCTCATTTATTGCTTCGCCAAAAGCGAACAGGCCCGACGCACACCAAACGCAGCAAGCGCAGTGGCAGATCCTGGGATTACCAGCAGTCCGAAGTAGGCACCGAGAGCAACACGAGGGGCAGGGACTTTCTGAGCCTTGTCGCGCGAGGCGGGGTCTCCCTTAGAAGACGACGGAACCCCACCACACAACAGACAAACATGACACCAGAGAAGAAACCCAATCAGTGGATGGTTTTCGCTGAGGAGATCGACCCGGAACCCATGAGCCCAGGAACCCAGAGCCCACCGAAATCGGCCCGGAACCAATAACCCAGAGCCCGGGGACCCAGCTTGCTACCAAAATCGGCGGGGAATTTTCACCAAATCTTTCAACTTCCGCTAGGACCCCTTCAGTGCAAGCACTGATCGGGGAACTCGTGCGGTATGTTCGCGTTGTGTCGACGGGCGGCGCCCCGCCGCTAGCATTCAACCTTGGTTGGACGCCGCCGGCGACCTATGAGTCGTCGAAGTTGAACGATCTGACTTTTCGGAAACGACCGATCGTTCAAGGTTGAACGGTCCCTGCGGTGTCAAAGACCAGCGCCGAAGTCGGCACGACAAAAACCTGCCGCGCTCCATTATCGCGCAAGCGCGGTCGCGGACTTGACAGCTCAGAATGCGACCGACGCGAACGCCTCCGATGACAATGCGACATGGGAAGTTAACGGCTCGGATGAGAATTCCACAAATACGTCAGATGCAGGAAATGAGACCATTGAGAATTTCACAGATGAGAATGTGACTGACGAGAATGCTTCATATGTCAACGTGACTGGGCTGAATGAGTCGAATGCGAGCAGTCTGGATGATAATGCGACTGAGGTCAACGTGTCTGATGGCAATTTCTCTAATATGTCAGATGCAGGGAATGAGACCACTGAGAATTCTACAGTTGAGAATGTGACTGACGAGAATGCTTCAGATGTCAACGTGACCGGGCTGAATGAGTCGAATGCGAGCAGTTTGGATGATAATGCGACTGAGGTGAACGCGTCGGATGGCAATTTCTCTAATATGTCAGATGCAGGGAATGAGACCACTGAGAATTTTACAGCTGAGAATATGACCGACGAGAATGCTTCAGATGTCAACGTGACCGGACTGAATGAGTCGAATGCGAGCAGTCTGGATGACAATGTGACTGAGGTGAACGTGTCGGATGGCAATTTGTCGAATATGTCAGATCCAGGGAATGAGACCACTGAGAATTTTACAGTTGAGAATGTGACTGACGAGAATGCTTCAGATGTCAACGTGACCGGACTGAATGAGTCAAATGCTAGCAGTCTGGATGATAATGTGACTGAGGTGAACGTGTCGGATGGCAATCTCTCGAATATGTCAGATGCAGGGAATGAGACCACTGAGAATTTTACCGCTGATAATGTGACTGACGAGAATGCTTCATATGTCAACGTGACCGGGCTGAATGAGTCGAATGCGAGCAGTCTGGATGATAATGTGACTGAGGCCAACGTGTCGGATGGCAATCTCTCGAATATGTCAGATCCAGGGAATGAGACCATTGAGAATTTTACAGTTGAGAATATGACTGACGAGAATGCTTCAGATGTCAACGTGACCGTGCTGAATGAGTCGAATGCGAGCAGTCTGGATGACAATGTGACTGAGGTGAACGTGTCGGATGGCAATGTCTCGAATGTGTCAGATCCAGGGAATGAGACCACTGAGAATTTTACAGTTGAGAATGTGACTGACGAGAATGCTTCAGATGTCAACGTGACTGGGCTGAATGAGTCAAATGCGAGCAGTCTGGATGATAATGTGACTGAGCTGAACGTCTCAGATACGGACCTCACCAATACGTCAGATGGAGGAAACGACACTGCTGTTAATTTCACAGCTTCTAATGCGACCGATGAGAACACCTCAGTTGACAATGCATCTGAGGAGGTCAACGTCTCGGACGGGAACCTCACAAATGTGTCAGTTGCGGAGAACGAGACGGCCGATAATTTCACGGCTGAGAATGGGACGGACGAGAACGCTTCAGATGTCAATGTGACCGGGCTGAATGAGTCGAATGCGAGCGCTTTGGATGAGAACATGACGGGGGAGGCCAACGATACGGCCGATAATTTCACAGCCGTGAATGTGACAGGCGAGCTTGACAATCCAACAGCTTCCAGCCTTCGCCGCCGACCTCTCCCTGGTTCTGGGTCCCGTACGTTGGCAGCCTCTGACTGACGATCAAAAACAGAACAGGCATCAACGCTCGGAGGTCCGCGCGGAGAGCTCGGGTCTTCGCTGGACCTCCTGGGCGGCACCTCCGTTGTCGCCCCCGTCGCGCCAAGCGCGCCCAGGAGGTGGATCAGGAGGAGGAGGAGGAGGAGGAGGAGGAGGAGGAGGAGGAGATAGGAGGAGGAGGAGGAGGAGGAGGAGGAGGAGGGAGGAGGAGGAGGAGGAGGAGGAGGGAGGGGAGGAGGAGGAGGAGGAGGAGGAGGAGGAGGAGGAGGAGGAGGAGGAGGAGGAGGAGGAGGAGGAGGAGGAGGAGGAGGAGGAGGAGGAGGAGGAGAGGAGGAGGAGGAGGAGGAGGAGGAGGAGGAGGAGGAGGAGGAGGAGGAATGCGAGGAATGCGAGCATGAAAGACAGCAGAAGTCTAAACACTGAACGGATTAATCTGACCCCGACTCAGAGCCCTGATCACCTCTGCCGTTGCTGCCACCGCGGGCAGCCTCCAAAAGGCGGAGGGACTGGGACACAACTCTGAGCTCCTGGGCCTGGCGAATCTCCTCCTCCGAGGGGGGGGAGGCTCGAGGGAGGACGGATCGGGGACCTCCTCCTCCACCGAGCCCTCGACTGGGGCGGCAAAAACCCCGAAACCTGCCGAGGGGGCGGCGGGAACCTGACTGCTGCTAGCCCCTCCCTCCCCGCGGCGGTCCTGAGGCTGCTCAGGCGTCGGGCCCGCGAGGCGGGCAAGCAGGGCATCGCGGACGAAACGCGGCGGTCCCCCAGGGTGGGGGTAGCGGCCGTTCTGACTTCTCGTGAGATTCTGGTCCCCCTTGCTGCTGGGGGTTCAACGGCCGACAAGCCACCTGGGGTCACAGGTGGCGGTTTTACCGCAGGCAGCACAGAAGGTCAGGCCATATCGCCCCCAGAACTGGAGGCGGTGGGAGGTGTGGAGGCTCTGACCTCCTATCTCTTGGGGCCCCTTCAACGGAGAAATTCCGTCGCCCACTGGCCTGGCCTGGCACTTGGTGAGAGCAGCCTGCTTAATTGAAGCTCTCGTCTCGAATCGAGAGCAGCACAAACACACGAATTTTGGGCCGACCTTCCGCCATTCGTGGGCGGACGATTTCAGCACTAGGGCCATGGCGGGCACGGGAGGCACCTCGGGGCGCTCGGGACGAGCCGCGGTCCAGGGATCGGCTTGGACACACCCCTCCAAAGCTCTACGCGCCCTCCTGCGGACCAAAGCCGCCTCAGCGTCCCTGCGGTCGGTCTCTGGGACAAAGCGGAGGGTGACTTCACTCCAATTCAATCGGGTCGCCCTTCCAGCGAGCGCATCGGCACACTCGTTGCCGACAGCACGGAAAACTTCGCGCTCACTGGTACAATCCAACTCGTCAACCGAAACGTGAGACGGGGCCCACTCCACAATTACCTCCGCGCCCCTCCCCCTGGCAGCCCTGAAGATCCTGGTCCAAAGGTCACCATTCCGAAGCTGGCGCGCACTCTCGCCTTGGGACCATATTCTAAGGATGGGGAGGTGGTCGGTTACAGATCTTAATTTTCCTACGGTGCGCTCGAGGGCCTCGGCGAACGCTGTGAGCTCGGTTCGGGGAACAGTCTGGACTTTTCCTGGGACGGTTATCGAAAACCCCGCACACGGCTCCCAGTCGAACGGGCTTCCATCGAGCGCAACTATCGCAGCTCCTACCCTGCGGCGCCGAGGGTCATCCGAAAACTCACCCCCCCGAGCCGTCCCCGAATACAGTGACGAAACCTTCGGCATCGCGGGGGGCGGAAGCGAAGCTACCAAATTCAGATACAACGGGCTCTTTTTCCTCGTCGAACACTGGGCAGGTATCAGGGCGGCTCGGTACTCCTCTGAGCCACAATGACGGGCTCGCCTCCCAGTTCGTCCTGGCCTGCTCGATGAGGTGCTCGCTGTCATCGTAGTCATTGTGACCACAGCCCTTTGGGCAGCTCCATATCCGATGAAATAATGTCTCTGCAGCCTCCCCGCATCGCGGGCACTCCGCAGCAATCACGTAGCCTGCTTCACGGAGTCGGGCCCGTGGCCATTGGCCTCCAGAAGTGACGGCGACGGTGAGGCCGATCAGACCGAACTCGTCGGCATTGGTGCACCTCTCGATCTCGCGAGAGACGCGCAGGAGGTCGGCACCTGCACGCAGATCTTCAGCAGCTTCATGCTGCGACGCCTTCCTCCACAACTGCTTGTTAGTGGAGTCCGAGACGTCGCTGAGCAGCAGGGTGAAGTCGCTGGTCATCTCCTGGAACTTCTCGTCCTTAGCCGTCGGGATCAGCCAGGAGTGCCCGCCATCGGTGCCCCATTGGGTGGCTGACACAGGGCCCCAACCAATGTCCAACAACGTGGCGATGGTCGCGCTGAGGGGCCCCTTGGCCAGTCGCCACTTGCGCTGACCCGCCTGCCTGATCCTCGGGGCGACAGTGTCCCAGGCCTTCTGGATGCGAGGATGGAGTTCAGGATGCTGCCTCCACATCGTCAGCCATGCTGTGAAATTCTGATGTCGGACGGCCTTGGCTGGGTCACCGTCGCCCATAGCCATGGCCAAGGTAGTGGTCAAGCAGCGACCTGGGCCCTGACCAGCAACTGATCGCCCAGCTTGCCGTCGAAGATTCGTGATCTCGTACTCAGGAACTCCCATCTGCTGGTGCCCGTAGAGCGCCTGGGGCAAGCTGCCTGTGCGCCAGAGCCCTTGAGCAACACGACGGAGCTTGGCAACGCGGCGCACCTTGCCGATGGCCATGGAGCGCTTAGCCGCCTTCTTCATGCGGTCGCGGGCCTTGCAGCGAGAGCGTATCCTACCAGCGGCAGCGTCGCAGCCCAAGTCGACGGCCTTGGTGGCCATGCGAGCTGGGATGCCAACCTTATTCAAACCCGTGGCGATCTTCTTGGCCATGGAGTTGTCCGTGGCGATCACTGCAGACTTGTCCGATATGGTGAGGTTGGCTTCGTGTTGCATCTTGTGACCCACGAATGTGCCAGCCTCGATCAGGGTGTCAGTGACGAAACTGGCTGTGCCCTCAACTCTAATGACAGTGTCATCGATGAAGGTCCTGATCATGATGCTGCGCTGGTATCGAAGGTGGGCTTGGTGCAACAGCGGCCCCAGCATGGCCTTCGCGAGCTTGCCCCCGTGAGGCGATCCCGCCACCAAGGACTTGGAAGGTGAGATTTCTCTGGATACCCACCTGCGTTCTTTCAAATAGCGCGGCGCCAAGAACATCTGAAGCTCGAGCGCCAAGATGATGGCTGGGAAACCTTGCTGCAGCCCGGCCTTACACAGCAGCGGGATCGAGATGCTGTCGTAAAACTTCTCCAAGCCAAGAAGGATGGCACCACTGCTGATGGAGAGGATGTGGCAGCACTCGTCCATGCAGCTCCTGACCAGCGCAGCCTGCAACGAGGAGGAACCTCGGACTGCCGTGCCCCAGAACTCGGCTAAGTCCTCGCTCCAGCGCTCGGACAAGGGGTACCTGATCTTCGACCAGGGCTTCATGAGGAAGGGGAGCTGGCCAAGGATCCTGTCGCCTCCCTTCGGCTTCGGGGCGACGGCCCCCATCGCAGCGACAACTTATGCAGGCCACATGACGCGGGCCTCGATCGTCTCGTAGATCGCGACCAGCTCGCGGCGGGCAGGTTCAGGCAACCTCTGAATCTCAATGGGGGCCCATGGAGTCGATCCCCTTGGCCTTCTTGGCGTTGAGGCGGCCGACGACGGAGTCGAGCTGCTCGAGCGTGATGGGGTCCACGCTCTCCTCATGGGCCTTGGCCGTGACGTAACCGAGACCCTCCAATATTGACTGTTGACTGGTGTTGCTATCGGTCCATACATCTTGCCATGCTTGAGCTCGACGATCCATTATCTGGCTGGGAGTGGCGTACCTGTGCCCAGCTTCGTCATAGTGCTCATCACGTACTGGGCGTGGCGGTTTGACGTGCCGATGCAGAACCCTTGGGGAATCACGCCACATCATGAGCGCCCACTTGCTGAAAGCACGCCGACCATCAGCCAACGCCTTGCCCGTGGCTCTGCTGAGGAAGCGCTCGGCGATCTCGATGATGCCTGGGATGTCCTCATCGCCCAGCAACTGGTGTCGCATATGAGCTCGAGCGGGCGTAGCACTGGTGCGATTCCATCCGATGGTAAATCCTTGCCCTCGACCTCGATGCTTCTTGGCGACCTCCTCTGCGAGCCCATGGTGCTGAACCGTGGTGTTCTCGACTGCCTCGACCCAAGAGTGGTAGGCCTGAGCAGTCTCTAGCTTGGCGACGGGGTCCCTGTCCAAGAGGCAATGTGACATCAACCCCTCGCTTGTGATCGACGCTGGGCTCGAATCTGGCAAAGCGGGTGGGGCGCCGCGAGCGCGCGCTGTGATGTCGACTCCTGCGCCAACATTGCCCTGGCTCACGGTCACCCCCCCTGCGACGGAACCTGAGGCGAACTCAGGATTTGCAGCAGCGCGCTCCGACGCCTCCGCGTGAAGCCCATCTTCTAGAATGACGGGTCCGACCTGGCCTCTGAGTCGCTCCCCTGATTGAAGGTCTTTGGCCACCCGCGGGCTCAGGGGGGCTGCAGTTGCCGGGCCTCTAGACGCGGAAGCAGCGGCCAAAGGCGCCGCCGACGACGAGGCCGCCGAAGCTGATGTGCAGGGCGGCTGGCTTGGTCCTCGATGGAGCGGAGCGGTCGGGGCTCCAGATGAGCCCCCCCTACCGCTCCACTCGATGGTGCCCTCGTCGTCTTCTGGTGAGTAGCCCTCTAGGTCGTCCATGGGATCGTGGTCCGCGACGTCGAGGGTACTTAATCTCTGATATTTCGAACGATATCCTGGCAAAAGGTTAGGAAGAGGATGTGGTTCCACCTGGTGCTGCTGAGCGCCTTGAGCGGAATTACTTGGTA